TCCAAGTAACCTTTAGCTTGCCCTTGTAGAACTATTTAATAGTCTACAAATACAATGCCATACAACTTAAATGTTCTAAAATTAATCAACACCCACCCTCTTCCCCCCCCCCCCAAAAAAAAAATACCTGGGAGGTGATCTCGAACGCTTGTATCCATTCACAGTCAAAGGATCACGTATTCCTACTCATCATCCCAGGTAGCTCAAGGCTCATCACAGTACTCCAAGTGAGGCTTCCACGGTTGTATGACATACTACTGCGTTGTCTTAATGGGAGAGAACTCGTTAATCTGATGGAGTTCTACGCGCCTGCATAACCAGTCGACTCCACTGGACTTCTTAAATATAAATTCATTATGTAGCTGCATCACGTATACCGGTAACTTAAAATAACTTTAGAACCTTTAAAAAAAAAAATCTGTTAAAAAGGTAACCCACTTTATTGTTAAAGCAATCACTAGAGCCCCTATTAATTCAAAAGAATAAATTCCTAACACATTTTGATGAAGTGCACGAGTAAATACAGCACATACAAATTAACGCTCCTCTGTTGGTATCCAATAGTGAGTACTTAATTCCTGCGTGGGTCGAGTGTGTTGGGTCCTCGTCTCTTAACGGTCGCAACACGACAGCGTTGTGTAGCTGAAAAGGCTAACTCTCTCGTGACGTGACCACCGACAGTTCGCGTGGCGGCCCGGATTACCTGGAGAACTCCATTTTATTGAGTGGGCCCTTCGATCGTGGATACCGTACCTTTCATTGCCAGTTCAGTGCATCAGTGGTCCTCACAGCGAGGGTAATATTTTTTTATATTAAATTGACCCTTTAAATAAAAAATAATTAAAGCAGTATTCAAAAAAATGTATACTTTATAATTGGTTCAGGACAATTTTTATGGTCTCAAAACAAGATTTAAGGTGACAATGAGGACGGTTTAAGCTTAATGTTCCCAGATATGTTACGAATATGAAATAATGGATGTACACAGGGACACCTGAGCGGCATACGAGACTCCTTTTATTCGACGAATTTGCAAAGCACCTTTTGGACATTTTATGTTTGATCCAAGTGCATTTGAATTGCGCTCTCCATAAAAATGGTGCATGCGGGCGGCTTCGTGGTGGGTGGGGGGGGGGGCGGACACAAATCTTGGCGCCCGCGGGCGGCACTAACCCTAGCTAGTACCCCTGCATATATTCGACGAATTTGCAAAGCACCTTTTGGACATTTTATGTTTGGTCCAAGTGCATTTGAATTGCGGTCTCCATAAAAATGGTGCATGCGGGCTGCTTCGTGGTGGTTGGGGGGGGGGGGCGGACACAAATCTTGGCGCCCGCGGGCGGCACTAACCCTAGCTAGTACCCCTGCATGCGAACGGTACTAATTTATTTTATTTTAAAAAAATTGTTGGTTAAAAAACAAAAACAATGACTGATTTCTTGTCAACCACCTGTCGTGCTAAAGGAAAAAGCTCAGAATATGAGCAGACACAGCGACAGAACACACGAAAAGTATTACGCCTGTTGATATTGCTGTGTCTGATCTTGAGAAGCAAAACCAAACTACAGGGTTTAATGACCTTTGAGCATATATTTATTTATTTAATTTTGTTTTAAGTGAAGGGCCGTGGCGAGCAAAAGCTGCGCCCAGGGCATAGCCTGAATTTAGGCGCCCTCTTCCTCAAATGTCAATTTTAATATTTTGCACAAAAAAAACCCCCCTGAGTTTTGCACTTACGGGGCGTGGCCCCCCCCCCCCCCCCCACACACATTTTTCACAAGGTCCTGTATAAATTGCTTGCATGTTAGGTCTTTTCAGTATATGAATATGCACGAAATAAGGAAGCAGATATGTGCGTATTATGTGTACAGCAAAGCTAATTATTTTTTAAAACATATGTTTTCCAAAGTGCCATGTAAATGAATCAAATCATGTATAGTTGTAGTGTGTCTTGCTTGGAGAAACCCAAGCTAAAAATGTGCTCTTCCTTACCGGCAAGCCTTTACATACCGTGCTTAACCTGCTTGGGGACAAGGATGGCCATAATAAACCATTAATACTTGAGTACAAAAAATAACGGTGCATAGATCAATAATGACGGAATGTTAAAAGTTATAGAGAGAATATAGTCACATTACATCATGGGTCGTGCTATGACAGAGGAAAAAAAACGCCAGCAGACTGGGGTTAGAGATTACAGACATTTCACCTGTCCTAACACAACTACAGACATTTCACCTGCTCTAACACACCTACAGACATTTTCCCCCGTCCTAGCAGAGCTACATGTGACCCACCAACAACATGGCCAAACATTTGACAACAGAAAACGTATAAACGAACTCAACAATTTCGCTTGAGAATTTGTGTAGTTTATTATGAGTAAAACTGAGGACCCTATACTGTAATGGTAAAATACAGGGCCACATTAGCAAAGACAAGTAAAAGTTTATGATTCATTAACTTTAGTTTTGTATATTATATGAACCAAACAGACACGGCTCCAACAAACTAAACATGTCACAGAAACCAATCTGGAAAAAAAAGGGCTTCATAATAAAATAATCAAATTGGAAATTATTTTTTTTTCTTTTTCATTCGTGTAAAAAAATAAAAATTTGGCATATAGAACACGGGGGAGGGGGGGGAGCCAGGTCACAATAAGAAGACATTGAAAATAAAATGATTCCCAGGCAGGTTTCATATTTCATAGTAAAACATAGCTTTTAAGAAGTAATTTAGGAATACTGAATCTTTTAACATCAAGTATTTTTCTATATAAACCAATCCCAGGTAAGAACTGTTCATTTATGATCAAATAAGGAACAATGTTACAAGAAACACACTCACAGGTTGGTGTGCCCTTGTGTTACACTTCTCCTGGTCAGCTGATCCAGTGGTCACTCACAGGTTGGTGTGCCCTTGTGTTACACTTCTCCTGGTCAGCTGATCCAGTGGTCACTCACAGGTTGGTGTGCCCTTGTGTTACACTTCTCCTGGTCAGCTGATCCAGTGGTCACACGCAGAAGCATGATTATTCAAAAAGAATTTTAAAAGATTTAGTCTTGCTGACAAGTGTAAGCTCCCGCGGTGTTAATATCCTGTAATTGTAAGGATCCAGACGACACGCTGCGATTGGATCAAAACTTCAGTAAGAACAGGTTCAGGCCTCTATTGGTAAAGGATAGTGCTGAGAAAACTTGCAGTTCATAATTGAACCAAAATTTAATTTTTTAAAAATCTTTCAACAAGTAGAATTGTATTATATAAATGCAGATATGGATTTCCGAGGTCTATCCACCTACTAGATGTGAAGGATTTGAGAAAACTGATGTTGCTTACACAATGAAATTAGCAAATGTGAAAAGAAACAATGTTTTTTTTAAAAGGTCGAACACTCTGACATTAAATTTGAAGACATCGCAATACAACATTTCACCCTAAAATCAAACATTGCCATTTTATCTCTGAATAAAACAAGGCCACATAGTTCTGAAGACAGCTCTCAAATGAGCACAAACAACCCATAACAAATGACATTATTACAATCTTGTGCTTGCCATAATAAAACAATCATTGGGAATCATAATCTCTCAGGCGAACGGATCAAGGCATTCAAGCGGTTAAGATCGATCCACATCCACCAAGCTGGTCAAGGAGTAGTGGCCAACTCCACTGTCCGTTTGGGGAACTGATGAACCTCAAGAGTTTTAATTTCAACTGTGGAGTATTGCACGCTTATGCTACAGATGTAGCATCTCTGAAAGAGATTGCTTTCAACAGAGGGGGAGTTGGCACCCTGGAACAGATGGTAGAAGGTGTCATCACAGCCATAACAATGTTCACCTCACACAAGACCCACTCTATCACTACACAATCATGCCTGCTCTGGCAGTGGGACTTTTAGCTTTGTAATTGTATTATGCCTTCTCATGGACTTCTTTGGTAACATTTGAGGTTCCCATTTAACAATGTCACAGACTGATAGTCAAAATTTAAACAACAAAACAAACAGATTTACATCATAAAAATTGAAAAAAAATACCTGTTAAAAAATGCTGTTTTTTAAAAAAATAACACGCAATTTCTTTTTACAATGCCCACTCATAAAACGCTCAAAGCTGCAACAAGGATGTCAACATTAAATTAACATATGGTAACTGAAACATTCCCAAGACTAAGCTGCCTGCTAAAAAAAATTGGTATCCATATTTAATTACTGAAAAAAAAAAAAATATTGGCAAGAATAAGCCAAGGTCCACCACCAAGTTTTAAACATCTTTTCCCCTATATCCCGGTACTCTCCCCTAACCAATTTAAAGATTTTTGTTTACTATGAAGAATATCATTATAATGCATAGATGAATGTGGTTATATCACACACACACAAACTTAATATTGTAAAAACACATACAAATTAAACATTTGTGATTAAAATTATTACAAATAACATTGCAGAAGATTTCTGTATTCTTTAACTTAATTACATTTTTTTAAAAACCCAGACCACTGTCCAATGCTGTAGAAATCCCCTTTATTTAAACAAGTGACATCCATAATTAAAAGGTGAATTTAGCTACATAAGGCTAATCAACCGATTATTTTGAATGATGATTGGTGACTCCAGTGTCATTAGAATGGTTTCTGCCAAGAGTGGGGTCCAGAAACCTTGCAAGAAATTTCAGTTTAAAATATGAAAGCCGGAAAAGTTATAAACCTCCATAACCGTATAAGCATGGTAAATAAAACATAATAAAAGTAATTTAGAAAGGTTTACATTATAGTTATATGTCAATTTAATATTCAATAGAACTAAGATAGTCCTTATCAGCGACCTGCAAGTACCTTACGCTCTCACTTCACAATAAAAGCAATTAAAAAAAAGACATTTACTGCAGTATCTTTAGGGCGCAGGACATGATATAGAGCAAATGTGCTGAGTAGCTCCTCCTGATTAAAGAATTTAACAACTTACATCTTTACTGGCACAAGATTAAAAATTTGACTCGCTTGAAATAAAACTGCCAATGATGAAGCTATCAGATTTCCTTTTCAATGTATCAATATCAATTGAAACTACAATAAAAATGAACACAAAAAATTAGAATTAAATTTCATTGAAACTTAACATTAAAAGTACTCAAAATAAGATTTTAAATTCCTACACCTTTTATTCTGTTATATTAAACATTGAAGGAATCATTGACTAAACTGAGAAAAACTTATATTGTGGCCATAATTTATCCCTAGTTATTTTCATTGACTGCACAAATTATACAAAAAGCACGCCTGTCATCTACGGAGCGTGCCTCTATTACAGCCTGCCCCAGAAACAACTGGTACAAGTTTAGTTAAAACATCCACAACATATGCCACTGCCCTAGTTAGAGCTGACATGCTCTGTGAGAATTGTCTGTTACCACACATCCAGGCCTAAACACATGATGCTTGCAGCGATTCCTGGAGCACTTTGATTAACTGCGGTTGGACGAATACAGCAATTGACCGAAAGACAGGTGGCCCGAGTGTTTGATGACATTCAAATGTCCATCTCAAACTGAGGATGCTCATCATGGCCAAACTTTGAGTCTGTAAAAGCAAAATAATTAGATAAACTGTGTTATCAATTTCACATGTAACTTATTAAATAAAAACCATGCCGATACCTCTTTAATTATTGGTTAACAATACAATCATTGGTTTCAATGTACAAGTTAATTACAGTCTTCTTTGAAGCGTGCAATGAAAAGCACATATAGCCCGAAACCACAAGTATATTTACAAATGCTATATGACTGAACATTTCACATTGTCAATTATACAGTCTGAAAAAAAAATATGCACATTTCATTTCAACCAGGTGAATTAATTTCCTTCACTGAATGATGCATTTATGAATAAAAACCAACTAGACAAATTATCTAAATTATTAATCTCCAGTCATGCTGCCTATTAAAGATATACAAAAATTATCAATGCATAAAGTGTAATAGTTAATCTAAATATCTGATCATACCCTCTTTTAGTTGATTTTTGTCATCTTTCGGCCCATTCTCCTTATCCTTTGCTTTCAGTAATGATTCTGGATCAAAATCTGTAATGCCAGGTATCTTTGCCATGTTGGCGGGAGGACTCCTAGCAAGTGGTGAGTTGCGCAACTGCATCAGGCGAGATCGATCATATACTATGCGGGTACCTACAAATGGAATTTTTAAAAAAAATTTAAAAATTAGTAAATGTAAACAAAGTTTTTTAAAATGAAGTGTCTACACGTCCTGCGCAAAATATATGTCCAGCGGGCATGTCACATGACCCCCAGTCAACTAGTAGGCGTTATTATTCCGGCAGGTCATGTGACAAGTGGTCGCCGGCAAAATAGTTGCATTGCATTTGATATTCCGATCCCTAGATAATAAATAAATGCTGAAAACTGAAAATGTTTATATATTCAAATGCTCCGAGATAAATAAAGTGTTTGACTTTGAATATTAAACTAGTCGGCCTATTTACTAACTAGAAGTACTAGTACTTGTAAAGCTCTACCTTGAAGCCTAATTTTAAAATATGACCAAATAAAATAAGACCAGTAGACTTCGATAGACCTTTGTCAATAAAGTTGTATTTCAGGATTAGTATTTAGTATCGCATGAGAAGTAGGCTAGGCTACCACTATATCGGCCCTATATTAAGATGTAGCTTTGTGAACTATCGGTCTTCCAACCTTAAAAGTAATTATCTATCACCCTCACTATTATTTTTTTAGCATTTGTATTTTTCATTACCGTAATTCTCTCTCCCTATTAGCATTGCTTCCTTCTAGAATGCATTATTGCTTAACCGCCACTTTGTATAAGTAATTACCCAAGTATTTTTTTCTATTATTTGTTTGCAAGATACTCAGTAAATTACTTGGTAGAGAGAAAGATTTTAAAATCGCTCACGGTCACGTGACAAGGCTGGGGTGACGTACAGATATCTCTCGCAACTTTGTTACGGTGATCATGCAACGAAGAAGATAAAGAATTCTTCCGGCCGTCATAGTGCGGGAGATATACGTCCAGCGCGCTGGACGTGTAGACACTGCCTTTTTTAAAACCATCTTCAATTTTGGTATCTCCTAGTCATATTATTTAGTCCTTCAAAACTAACTCTGCTAGGCTAGCTAGAGAGGAAGTAAAAAGCTTGGAAAAGGATATAGTACATTACTCAATGATCATCAGCTTCGAGATTTCTAACTATCATTGCGCAGAGCTAAATAGATTCATTGTGATTGTGGTTATACACAACTTTCTGTGGCTGATAGATATAAACAATCATGAAACAAGTGACCATTCAAATGATTTTCTGAAAACACTACATTTACATTTTAGTTATAAAGAGGAAGGCAGAGTGGGAAGAATAGAAGACAGAAGTAGGTATTTTAAAAGACGCACGCGCATCCCTTCTGCGCAGTCGAAAAATCACGGAAAAACTTTTGTGGCCATTTCATAATCGGCTCTATGGTGTACTCGGATTTTTGCGTTCCACGTCACAGTTTTCTAATTATACATTTGTTTTGTTATCGATTACATTAAATATTTGTCTTACGGTGACGCTCATACAATTTACCCAACGAGTGGAACCCCCGTTTTTTTTCTGTGTCACTTTTTCAGTATCTGTAAGTTGAAAGTGTCTTAAAAACTTCTTTGGAGCATTCATATATGATTAAAACCCAAAAGCTCATGTTTATCATCTAATTTGGATTACTAATAACTTTAAATTAGTCAATTTAACCCGTTCCAGAGAATGTTATCGCTCTCCACATGTAAAATCAACACCCCATCACCGGAAAGAAAAAGAAAAAAAAATGGCCGACTTTTTTTGTCTTCACCGGGGAGATGTAAGCGGCTCTAAATAATATTCAATAATAGTTTAATACTTTTGTAATCTTTTAAACATCTGAATAAATCTAAGCAAATTAGTAAAAGTTAGTATTAAAAATCATAGAAATTGATAAGATGATACAAATAAATTGAAATTCTGAATATAAAATTGATGGGAAATTGCTTTTTAATAAAAAAAAAAAAAAATCCGAGAACTACCGGCACCGGTATTAGTAGTTAAGCTTAATATTAATACTATAATGAACTAATACTTTTCAATTACAACAAATGCAATTAAAACCTAAATTTAAATAGTAATTTTAAATTAAATAAGGTATTTAATCATAAAATTTAAAATATTGTTAAGTACTGGTAATGACATGACATAGAATTAGAGTTAATAAAATAAAAACGAAACCAGTTTTAATCATCACTAATGTCTAATGTGAATAATAATTTATATTAAAAAGAAATTGTGTATATTCAGGATTATGATTGAAATTATTAAGATGTTTTTCTAGGCTTTTTTCAGATAAAAGAGAAAATTTTCTATTGCAGAGCTCGGTTGGAATTCCTTCCATCAAAGAACAAGGAGACATGTTTGAATGTAGATAAAAAAATGGTTTTGAGTAATTTTTATTTATAATTAATAATTACATTACATGCAGAGAGAAAAAAAAAACTACTTACCTTTTTATAAGTATAAGAATTTATTTAAAATTAAACACAAGCATATAATTAGTTCAAATCAAAATCCAATAAACAAGTTTTTTTTTATTTGTTAGTATCGGTATTGATTTTTCCATTTTTTCTGTTCACATTTTTCTTAACTTAACATACCTTTAAATAAAAAATTTTAAAATAGAAAGTACTGATGTCGATGTTATTTAAAAGTTTTTTTGTTCATTGTGTTGTATGTTGCATTAAGAATGTCTCCTGAAAATTTGGTAGCATTATCTTTTAATTTTAAAATAAAAAAGTTTTGGGCAAAATAAGGCAGAAATTTGGAAAGTGGGTCACACGTTTTCACAGTGACACAGTTAAATACAAAGATAAAGAAGAGGGTTTTAAAAAAATCACAAAAAAAAATCAGAACTCCACTTCTATTAAAGATAGAAAGATGAAATTGGTGTTGTTGTAAAGCTTATAGCTAGCCCTTTAAAATGATGTATCATTCATGGCAATTGAGCAATATTTAAATTTTGTGTCAAAGTACCTAGAAGAAGAGAGAGGGAGAGTTTGCTATTTTAAAATATCAGTTACAATTAAATTATCACATTAGCCCTCCTTTAGAGGCCGTAAGTTACTGCTGTCATTGATGTTATTAATTATAGGTATAATTAATAACATTATTTAGCCCATTATTTCTTGACCTTTTAATTTTAATGAATTTTATAATAACAGTTGGCCTAATAAATCAATTTGCCAGAAAGGCCGACTTATGAAATGATAAATAAGCCCAGAGTGATCTGCCCCTTCCTTCACACTTCATTGTATGACTAGTCAAGCCATTTTTAATTTTAATAAAATCATATATTTCTTTAATTAGTTCTTCATAAAATTCCTTTGTGCCAATAAATTAATTGGAATATCATAATTTAAAGTATTTTGCATTTATCAACTTATTTCATATCAGTATTGAAGAGTCACATGGTCAAAGTTTCAATGAAGTCAGCCATTTTGATGATTTTTCTTTTTTTTTTTTTTAGGTTATCGGTTATTTTTGTTGTTGCATAGGAAAGGGAAAAAAATCGGTCAAACAAATCTTGTCAGGTTGCCATATGCTTGCAATGAATGCATCAAAAGAGATTTAAATTGCAAAATATGAAAATAAATTGCAAACCACTGCAAAAGTCGAGGATGCATTGCAGTAAATAAAAACGAACTGACATGGGTTGGGCCTACTTTGACTTTGTATAAAATTACTGTCTTATTTTTTTTATGTATCATGTCTTCTTACCTCCGGGTGTTGTTGAAAATAATGTACCCCCTGGGGTGGAACTATATTCGGCTGGCAGTTGAGAGACGTCATTAAGGACTACACGCCTTATTGCTGGAATGTCTCTTCCTTTTGGGGACTGTTCTTGGCTACACATTTTACTTTATTTTATTGTTTTAATCAGACACTCTCAGTTAAAACCCTACACTCAACCTCGATTGCTGCAAAACCCAAACATACACACTCAGCAATCGGTAGTGTGCCAGATTTTTTACGAGAATGAAGCCAGATGTTTCTTATTTTCGCTTCCTCTGGTCCAAAAAAAAAAAAAAAAACCACAAAAAAATTATAAAGAAAAAAGAATTTGATTTTTTTTTTTTTTTTTTTTTTTTTTTTTTTTATTTTATTTATTTTTTTTTTTTTTTTTTTTTATATATACAAAAAAAAAAAAAAAAAAAAAAAAAAGTTAGTCAAATTGTTGTTTTTTTATTATTTTTCTCGTTAGGTTGTAATTGTTTTTTTTTTTTTTTTGTTTTTTTTTTAAAGTAGGCCCTATAGCCTAGGTTTGGTTTTGGGTGGGGTTGGGGGGTCGGCGGGATATTACGATCAGACATTAACGAATTCATAATGATTTTTAACAAATTTTGTACAGCCTACATCACAGTTGATTTTGGAATGAATATATATATATATTAAACTCCATATCAAAAACATGGAACCGCCATAAGCGTACTCTCAGAGGGTGCCCCTGCTCTGCCCCTTTCCGTAACGCCTGATAAGCGTCGCCCCCACCCCACACACTTAAAAAAAAAAGAAATTGTCGGGAATAAACTCTTAGAAATAAGTTTGGACCATACTGGGCCCCAAATGCATTTCATAACATTACTTCAATAGGTTAGAAAGGTTTAGTTTCTAGAGGGCCACAATGCATAACTTTTCACAGGGCCACCGATGCCATTAAAACCGCTCTAGCTGTGACAGTGTGAACAAAAAGTGTGTGTGAGGAGGGGGTATTACCTGAAACTATATTTTCAATGGAAATGACTCTCTAAGCATTGGAATTAGAATAAAACCATTTTTTCAATATTCAAAAAAATGGGTAAGCCCTATAGTCTGCGGAAAAATAATATTTACTATTAAAAGTTAAGAAATGTTTAATTTTAAACGTTAAATTTTAGTGTTAAACAAATCCGTGATCGATCATTGTGGGCACTTCAAACTCCTTGCGTCAAAAATGGTCAGCTGGGTTTCCATATTTATGCCCTGTCTGAACGAAAATTTGCATCTCGACGTATGCATTCCTGGTCCTTCCTTCAACACGTAGCGAACTCGACCGATTATTGTTAGCTTTAGCTGTGAGTTGTTTTTCCGCCTGAAAATAAACTGACTTATTGTATACCGTTAATTTATCTGTTGGGATTATTCGATTTTCACGGCTGATTAAATAAAAGTGAAATGCAGGAGCGGTGTTAACAAAATAATGACTTTAGTTGGAACATTTGTTGAACTGAGATTTAGCACAGTCAAACACGCTCAGCCCTGATAAACAGCTGAGCGAGTATAAATAGTCCCCGTGTTATTCAATGGCACGGCTGCGGCTCAGCGTACATGTGAGTAGCCAAAACCAGATGGCTCGGGGGACTGGCTACGTTTCTATATTGCTTTAAGATCGGTGATTTTTCACACACTTCACGATGCCCGTTTGTTTTCTGTAGTGGATTACGCGCTGTGTGTAGCCGGCCAAAACTAACCGTATTTTTTTTTTAAAAATGGATTCAGCGGATTATTTCAGTATGCAGGAAGAAGTTGTTGATGCGGACTGGTATGAAAAAAGTGAGTAGACTTAAAGTTTAAGACTTTCTCACTCTTAGTAAGAGACATTGGTTGAATGAACAATATGATATCTAGACTATATGCCAGGTTTACTATGCCATTGCCGTAATGCTTATTTATGCATGTTAATATTATTATTTTAATTGATGTAAATACGTTGTAGTCGTTTGTGGATTTTTTATGTGATATTTTTTTTAATTGTCACTACATAAATAAAAGCGTGCAACACACTACGCATACTACACTCATACACATTAACTTCTATTCAGCTTACCCTAATGTAAAGTCAAAGTCTAGTGAAAAGCCTAATATTTATTATCCTAGTATGTATTATTGTATAATATCAATAGTTTAGTATTCTATGAATTTTAAAAACTATTTTAAGACCGTCTTCGTCTCTCGCCCCCCCCCCCCCCTCCCAGGACGCCAATTGAAAAGTCTAGTGAAAAGCCTAATATTTATTATCCTAGTATGTATTATTGTATAATATCAATAGTTTAGTATTCTATGAATTTTAAAAACTATTTTAAGACCGTCTTCGTCTCTCGCCCCCCCCCCCTCCCAGGACGCCAATTGTAATTTATTGCCGGCTAGTCATTCAGAAAAAGTTCAAATAACTCGCTGGCAAGATGAGATCTTGAGTCCTTTGAATACTGGCCGTATGAGCCAGGACACAACATGAGCAGTGAGATGTGTTTACAACGTCACGTTTGATATAACGATTCAACATGTATGTTGAACAGTTGTCATTTTGGGTTCACTACTAACTAGGTCTATGGCAGGCTATCTATGGCTATGGTGATAAGCTATGCCTTTAATACTAATTCCTCCAAAACACTGTTCAGTTTATTTCTAAATTGCTTTAAAATAATAATAATAATAATATTTTCTCTTCGAATTGAATCTTAGAAACATTTCACCCACTCTTCAAATATTATCTGCTTGACCTCGATTCATGCCACCTCACACTGTCTGGACTGCCCGACTCAAGTACACTGACCTTTGACACTTAAGTCTTCACACAGACACACCTACATTTGGAGGCATCTCTAAAACCCACCCCCAAAACTTCACCCAGCCCCCGAACTCTTCCCAAACAGGACAGGCCTGCTGTCTCCCCAAACAGGACAGGCCTTATGTCTCCCCAAACAGGACAGCCTGCTGTTTCCCCAAACAGGACATGCCTGCTGTCTCCCCAAACAGGACAGACCTGCTGTCTCCCCAAACAGGACAGGCCTTCTGTCTCCCCAAACAGGACAGTACAGGCCTGCTGTCTTCTCAAGTACACATCACATTCAAAGCTTGTTCGGCGTATACAGTACACATTCCAACTCGTCATCTGGTCGTCCCCACCCCACTGGTCGCCTCCCACCCTTTTCAGCTTCTATCGATTTCTCCCAACATGATGCCTGGAGGTGACTCACTCATCGTGCCGACTGGAACCAGCATTATGGCCGGGACAAACGTTTTCGGCCACATTTCGATTGCATTGATTCATTCCCACAACCCCCCCCCCTACCCCTCCACCCCAAACACACAGGTTGGTCCGACCATGTGAAAGCTGAAGTATTTGTCACGTGTTAAATTTGAACTTAGTTGGGGGTGGGGGAATGGGGGATTCCAGATGGTGGTATTGTAAACAAAACAAAATGTATGTGTTGTCCAGTTAGTGTTAAGGTCACGTCGCGGCCATAACAATAAACAAAAAATAATGTCACGGTCAGGGAGGTCTCATGAACCAGTAACGTCTACCATTCACTTATCGGCGCGTGTAAACCTTGGGTCGTGGAACAGATGCGAGGTGACGAACTTCCCAGCGTTCACACAATGCAAATGCACACACTGCTCTCTTACATGTTACAAACAGTAAGCGCTTCTACACAATGCAAATGCACACACTGCTCTCTTACATGTTACAAACAGTAAGCGCTTCTACACAATGCGCAGCCTTCTACTCCCACGCGCGTGGCTACTAGTTGGAAAGTAGTGGGGGGGGGGGGGTGTGACCACCCTCATCATAACCCCCCACCACCTTTTCCCACCCCCCCCTCCCCCCCCACCTCGACATCACGACCCCAGCCGATGAGATCCTTCTTAATTTT